ATTTTCGCATCATGAAAACATCCAAAACAAAAAGATGCTAGAAGCTACAGAAATGAAAATAGTACATGGAATAGTTGGGAAAACATTGATGGACAGAGAAAGAAGTGAGAACATCAGACAGGCTTGCAGGATAGATAACATCAATGATTGGGTATTGGACAGAAAGAAGAAATGAAATGAGCACATCGATCGAATGACACTGATAGCACATCGACAATGATAGTGCGTGGAATAGTTTAGAAAACATTGATGGACAGAGAAAGAAGTGAGAACATCAGACAGACTTGCAGGATACATAACATCAATCATTGGGTATTGGGTAGAAAGAAGAAATGGAATGAGCACATAGAAGAACGAATTGTGAAAATCATCATCAGGACGAAGAAGCATTGGAAGACTTAGCAAAAGATGGAGTGAAGAAAACTAAGCAGTTATGATTAAATACAGAAGGAAGAAGAAAAAAAAAGATTTTGATTTTTGTATCAAATTGAAATTTAAAATACTGCATTTAAGTTTAAATATAGAAAATGTTAATAAGGCGTTGTTTTTTTAGTGTAATCAAGTAGAAAAGGTGTACAGTTAATTGGACGGGTATATTGGTGATAATTGAGATTTTCCAAGTTAATTTATACGATATGTGTGCCGCACGGTTCGTATATACAGGTTTTAAGACACGTCCTCGTAACAAGAAGAAGGAAAAAGTCGTAATTTATTCCGTCAAAGTCAAGGACCTTCGCTTCCTGCCTCGGGCTTATGCGTTCGTTCGCGTTCCGCTGTAAAGTGTGTGTAGAGTTCGATTTTATAGGAACTCTTCTCCAAATGAAACAAACAGTTTTATTGTACAGTTAATTTTTTTTATAAAGAAAACCAATATTTAACCTAAAAAGTTTTTTTAAAATTTATTTGACGTTTAGTATCTCAATTGACTTTGAAACGTCAAAATGAGATTCTCTAAAAAGGATAATTTTGATCTTAAAAAGTCAAATTGGTATTTTAACACTTAATAAAGTTACGAATGATTTAATATTGTCAAATATAATATTAAAATTTATTGATTTTAGCTTCTTTAAATTGACTTTTAAATGTCAAGTAGATTCAGTACCTCAATTGACTTTTAAACGCCAAACTGAAATAAATAAATGTGTCAAGTTGTTATTGTAAGAAAATGAGAAAAAATACTGTTTTCGAAGTGATTTGTAGCGTAAAATAACATTTAAATGTATCGTATTGATTCGCTAGAAAAGGTAAGATTTAAATTTATCGTTTAAAAAGGATAATTTTATAATAACATTTTTAACCTTAAAATCAAATTGGCGTTTTAACACCTAATAAAATTACGAATAATTTAATATTGTTAAATTAATATTAAAATTTATAAATTTATTGATTTGAATTAAAAAAACTATTTGATTTGACATTTAACATCTGATTTGACTTTTTAAATGTCAAGTAGACTCAGTACCTCAATTGACTTTCAAACGTCAAAGTGACATAAACAAATTTGTGTGTCAGGTTGATTATTACAAGAAAATGAGGAAAAAATACTGTTTCGGACGCAATTTTTAGTTTAAAATAACATTTAAATGTATCGTATCGATTCGTTTGAAAAAGTAAGTTTAAATTTGTCGTCTAAAAAGTATAATTTTATCATAAAATTTTTAACCTCAAAATCAAATTGGTGTTTTAACACTTAATAAAGTTAGGAATAATTTAATCTTGTCAAATTAATATTAAAATTTATAAATTTATTGATTTTAGCTTTTTCGAATTAAAAAAATCTAATTTAATATTTGATTTGACATTTAGTATCTGAATTGACTTTTTAAATGTCAAATATTAAATACCTCAATTGACTTTTAAACGTCAAATTGATTATTACAAGAAAGTTAAAAATATCCACCGAATTAGAAATTACTTTGAGTTGGAAGTCACGTAAAGGATTTCTATGTAAAGGTAAGTTTCAAATTTAACGTACAAAGTTTCCATTTTAAAATAAATTTTTTAACCTAAAAATCAAATTGAGTTTTGATTGATTTGAAAATGTCAAATCTAACGTTGTAATTTATAAATTCTCCGATTTTAGTTTATTCATAAATAATATTATTCTCTAAACCACCACTGTGAAGTTCACAGATTATAAAAAAACAAATTATAACCTAACAAATCAATTTGATCTTTGAAATTGCCAAAATGTCAAAGTGACGTTTAAATATTACATTGATTGTTGCAGAAAGAATACTGGTTTAGAAATTATTTTGAATAAAAATAACATTGAAATGTTTTGTTAGGATAAATTGTATTAGTATCAAATTTATCCATAAAAGTTCTAAAAAGGAAATCAAAAAATGACATTAAAGTTGACTGACTTTTACTAAAAATCGATTATTTGACAGGTTATAATACTACCTGATTTTCTGATAATAAAAATAATCCAATTTCGAGTAACGATTGTGAATATACGTTACGACGAATGTGCATAATCGGATGATGTATTTACCGGGAAATGTATGTTGTCTAACCAAATTAACCGCTAATCAGTTAGATTACAATTATAATACAAATACAAGGATTTGTAGCAACAGGAGAGAGTGGGATTTGTTGTTATAGGGGAAAACTGTTAAATATTGTATACAAATTCAGGTTTACACATCGATACAGTCAAAACATGCAGGGAATGACAAGTTAACCCTATTCCCTTAGCAACCTCACACCCTCACAGAACACTAGATGATACAACCCTATGTTTAGTTTGCTGATGAAGCTTGTCCCGTGTGTTTTATTTGAGTTGTTGTAATCTTACCGTACATATAATATTACATATATAGGGTAAGTTGCATAGATATGGTAAGTAGCATAAGGTTTAGAAATATATATACAGGGTGATTCTCAACCTGTACGCATAGACTTGGGGACTTATTTCAGGGTGAGCCCAATAGTGTATAGAAACTATGGGAAATAACTTCAAACACCTGCTGTGATGTTGTTTTTAAATGTTCTATGTATTCTAGATTTGGAAGTAAATTTCACGTATATGTAGGAAATTAAAAAATTTTACTATAATTTTTTTCACTTATTAGTCATTATTTGTCATGAGGATAATATTCCCAAGTTTATGCGTATAGGTTGAGAATGACCCTGTATATAATTAACACTGATGATAATAATGTTTTTACCAGGAACTCCGGAAATTGAATGAAAAAGGTTTAAGACATGGAAGAACTTGACAGCAAAAAAGAAGTGAAACACTGGTTGTGATTACGTATCTAGGCAAAGGCATGTTGTTAATGCTTATTAAAAGTATACCAAGATAATGTTCAAGAGATTTTTAATACTCTTTGAAAACGGGGTCATTTGTAGTAAAGCGTTTTCAAGTTGCATAGTATATCCGAAACGTCCTACGGCATCTGCTTTATATTAGAAATATATCGTAATGCGTATACCACCGATGGATCAGCCACGTGTATATCACGTCGGCGTCAATGTGTTAAGAATAAGACCGGAAAACCAAAGGCTATAAAAAACCACACCCAAGCTATCACGGTATCGGCGTGTAAAAAATTCTTAACTATTTCTGAAGGAATAGCTTGTTAAAGTATTCCTCATTTGGTATAGAGTAGATAAAAGGATGACGGACTGATGTTGCAAATGTTAGGAGTATGGGTATGTTATGAGAGACCGCAAAAACATTGTTAGAGCAGAAATTGAAAGTAAAAGAACATAAAAATACCATGATATGCAAAGTAAAACAACAACTTTCAGTAGCAAGGAAATCCTTAAGAAAGTGCTAGATGTGTGATGGGCACAATTATTGAATTAAATTTGAACAAAATCTATTCTGCTCATGGATTGAATGAAGAAAAAATATGAATGAAGAAAATATATTTGTGGATATAGGCTGTGCATATGATATTTGAAAATTTAATGTGTGATAAAAGCTGTGATTCGTGTAGACTCATATAATATTACTGTAACGAATAGTATTAAGGATGTTTCCTTAAGGTTAGTTCCAACCACACTTTTGAGTGTCAATTGAGGGTCAGACACCAGTTGAAAAATACTGTTCCAACAGAACCGTGGACTAATCCGCGACTTTTGTCAAGCGTTCTAATAATCGTCGCACAAATTCATGTACACGTCCGATCAGTCAAATTTGTACTTGATCTGGAGCAAGTACGTTTTGTCACGTCCTTTAACGCGTGCGCATAACTCATTTCCAGTCGGGCAGTGTGTCTGTTAAGGTTATGTTTACTGTCAAAGCGTTTGTTTGAATTTGAATTATTAAGGTGAATTTAGACATGCATGGATTTAGTGGCGCGCCAGTAAAATTAAATTTCATGTGTAAACATCAATTGGCATGCAAGTTGATGTTTACCCCTTTGAAAAGTCTGCAACCTTTTGAAATCACTGACGCAAGTGATGACAAATACGTGCGGCAAAACAAAATTTGCGTCTGTAAACAAACGCTTGCACATCGGCAGGCCAGTTTTTAGTCAGATTTTCGTTTCAGTTGAGGTCTTAATTTGTGTTTATTGTAGTTTATATAGTTTATTATGTTTATCATTCGTAGATGATTAAGATGATTTTTATAGCTTGCAGAATCTTCTGCTGCGAGTTCTCGTAGAAGTTTTGCAGAAGCACCCAAAGTAGGTCGACGACTAATCCATGGTTTAACCAAACACGACCTTTTCGTCGTTTCTTTTTCTGTATTTCTTTTATCTTTTTTCCACTAAAAGTTTAGCGACTATTTTGCATGCTTCGAAAAGTTCACTTGACATATTGCGCACTGTGCAATACACTTTAAAAATGAAACTGGCGTGTCACTTATTTTTGATTTCGCACATGTAGTGTAAACCTTTACTGGGGTACAAATAGAACTGGCGCCACTAAACCCATGCATCTCTAAACGCACCTTCTTATTCTCTATTCTTTTGTGTTTCGGATGTTTTTAACAAATTTTAATTTTATGCATATCTATTTCATTTTTCCACTATTATGTTTTCTTAGATTTATAATTCTTGCAACTTTAGTTCATTGTTGTTAAAAGATGATATACTAGTATATGATATAAATGAATTGAGTAAGCGGATTTCGTTTGTAATCGTAAATTGTGTTTGCAGCGCACATTAACCGTGCTTACAACTTTCAATTCGTTCCAACGCGTTTAACGAATGCGCAGAAGAAAGTCGTGTACGCGTAAGTGAATTGGTCAAATTTGTACGGTTGGAACAAAGCTTATAATTAAGGTAGTAGAAGAGTTACCTTGAAGAGGTACCTGTAGCTTTTTCATATTATTTTTTTCCAATATATAAGATTTTAAACGGTATTTAGTATAAATATAAGAAAGGAAAGATGACACAACATGAAAATCGAACAATTTTTAATACTAAAAATCGTTCGATTTATCTCTAAGAGGAAGAGTGATAATAATGATCTATAACAATAGAATTTACTGCAGTGTTTTTGGTATGTGTCAAAAAGTGAGATTAAGCATATGGCGGTCAAACCGCGGTGGCCATCAAAATCTAAGCTTTATCATTTAAACAACCGTACGCATTTGGCGACAAGCGGCTAGCATGTAATAGGCACGATTACATTATGCTTATGAGATTACGGCCGCCTCGACTTAGTGGCCAAGTCAGAAGCATCTAGCCTACGGATGAAGAGTGACAGATCCCACCTTTAAGAAATTGAGTAGCGCGATAGTTGTCAAGATTCTGATGACCAACGCAATAAATATTAATTTAAATGAAAAGTAAAAACGCAACTTTTCAAAATTAAAGAAGCTAAATGGAACACTTTATGTAAAGAGCAGAATGGGATATGTGGGGAATGTATACAGTGTGCATCAAATAAACTCCCCCTTTTTGCATCTAATTTGAAACCGTTTGAGGTATCGTATGAAGGGGTTACATTCAAGATTCTGCTTGTCTCAAAAAGGGTTTCCATACTCCTGGAAAATATCAGACTTGGTATTAATAAAAAGCCGCAAAAGGACCCGTATGAAACACCGACTTATCGGTCATCAACCTCGTCAGATAATGGCAAACTGAATAAGAAAATGAAGGAGAAAGAATCGATATCCCGCTAAAAGAGCTTTATAGAGGGAAGCGAAGCGACGTTTGGTAAACACATTTTTACGAAAGAGTATGTTGGAAGAGCTAGTGGTTGATAAAATATCACATATTACATATCGATTCATACAAAATTTAAAATGTGTTCAAACTACTGTTAATTGATAGCCAAAACCGTTTATAATAAGTACAAATCGTCAATTCATCATAATCATATGATATTCACATAGTTAGTATTCATATTTTCTTTGTTATAACCTGTCAAATAATAATTAAATTTTTTGTTTTAATTGTCATTCCAATTGGTTGAATATGCATCTTAATGATTATAATAATTTATGATTTTATAATTTCAAGAAGAAAATGAAATTAGAAACTTTTTTTAAATGATAAATTCTTAGAACGAATTCAACCGACCAACCCTAAGTTTAAAAAAATCACTTATTTAATAAAAAACGATTCGAAAATCACACAGTTCCACGGATAAATCACAAGAACAGCTTTTTTTAACTAAAAAAAAGCTTTATTTAAAAAACATAAGAAAAAACGTCCGGAAACTTTTTTATTTTTAACACTTTAACACTTATTTCCTTTTTCGATTATTAATCATTTTATAAGTAATGCGCCCCTCTTTGCCTTTGACTTTGATGATTAGCCAAAAATTTCGTTGAATGTTTCGGTTTATAAATTAACGCAGGAGGAGGGCTTTCGATTTTCTTTGATTTTTCAACGACCATTGAAATATCTGGATATTCGCGGATTTCCCAAACCAAATTATTTAAACTTCTCGGTCGCGAAAGTTTTCTCGATCGTTTTTCCGGTTGCTTCGTTTGTCCAGAATCGCCACTCGCTCTTCCACCAGAATTACTCGAATCTAAAGTTCCGTCGAGTTCCATCGCTTGTTGTAAATTATTTAAAGATTTATAACGAATATTAAATAGTGGTGAACCTGATTTTGAAATAGGACTCGGTGGTGTTTCTTTCATAGGTGAAGCACTTTTTTGACGAAATAATCTACCTCTTTGCGAATGTCCATTTTTTACATATAATTTTGGTAAACCAGGTGGAATTTTTTCACTATTATTAATTTTTTGTGAATCACGAATTGTTGATGTTTTTCGATTACGTTTTTCAGCTTGCAATTTTTTTGTTGGGATCGTTTCGATTGGTGGTGGTTCAGGTTTTTCGCCATTATTTATTGCAATTGTTGTTTCTATTGAATTAAATGTTCTTACGCTTTTTGGTAACGGTGCAAAACCTCTTACGTAATCATAAATTTGATCGATTTCTTCGTAATCTTTCGTATGATGTATTTCTTTTTTATGATGCGTATGTTTCGTTCGATGGTTTGCTGAATCTGAGGATGCACTTCTACGTAATAGATAACCATTTTTTTCTAAATTTGGTGTTTTTTTGGAATCGCCTAATTTTCCATCTAAAACTTGAATTCTATCAGAAACTTCCGAGGATAATTTCGTACATTTTTCGACTAAACGATTAAATTCAATCATGGTTTTTAATTGTTCCTCGTTTCTTGTTCTTAATAATTTTAATGGTGCTGCTAAAGGTAAAGCTGTTACTGTATTAATATCTTTCTGTAATGGTAATGCAAATATATGCTCTTCTTCAAATATTGATAATAATCTTAATTCTGGTACAAAATGATTTGGACTTTTTAAACCTCTCGGGGATGTACCATGTACTAAACGTACTGTTAAAGGCATTCTTTTGCTTAAAAGATTTTTTGCGGTGTGCACACCACTGATGTTATCTTCTCGCGCTAACGCACTAAATTTTCCTCTTTGTTCTAAACCCAATAAAATTGTATCACCTCTTGAGTCAATACATTTCAAGTATTTTCCTTTTGAACCAGGAATTATCGTTTCACCTGAAGGTATTAAAACTTCTCCAGCGGGAATTGTTCTTGCACCTTCAGGTACAACATTTCCGTCGCCGTCAGTTTTTGCTTGAACTCCACGTATCGTTTCACGAACTAAACATCCTTCTTCCGGTCTTCTTCTACTTAATTCATTAACACTTTCTATGCACCTAACTGCTCTACCTTCTTCGCTTAATAGTTCGAAATAACCGGGATAAGTATCTGGTATGGCCAAACGGGGGCCCACGCAAACTAATCGACGACCTTCTTTGATTTTGACAGCTTGCGCTACGATTTTGTGACGTTTTCCTGCCGAGACTAGAAGTGCTGTCGATTGGAGGCTGGGTGATGGTAATGTTGGGACACCTAATCCACCGTATTGGCCTTTTATTATTTTGACGACGGCAGGAAATCGATGTTTTGTGACGAACTCTCGGAGGTAATTTCCTTCGTCTGCCCATCGAGCCGCGGCCACTGTTATTTGGCCGTCTGTTGCTGCCATTATTTGGAATTTTTCAACTTGTATTATCCATTTCTATAACAAAAATTTAAAAAAAATTAACTTTATTGTCATTCTAAAATTTACGCTTATTTTAATTTACATTTATTTTTACACCAACATCAAGAAATATTTAATAGTTATAAACATTACAAAAACGGTATTTTGGTTGTCACATTGATACATTTAATAGTTCCTAAAGAGTGAACATCAAGGTGCTAATAGATTATTAGATATTGATAATAGAACTTGATACTGCTTCTAGAAATCTAGATAATGCATGAAATACTATTTATGGAGGACTAAAAACTGCTTGCAGAACACTAGATACAGCTGGCAGAAGATTATATACTGATACCAGAAGACTTGATGTTTATAGAAAGAGGATTTACTAGAAAAAGATATGGATATACTGTTTGCAGAAAACTAGATGGTATTTGCAGAATAAATATTGCCGTTAAAGTTCTAAACACTGCTAATAGAAAACTAATACTGCTTATAGAAGGATGAATACTGCTTGCAAATGTCTATTTATTGGTTGTGAAAGACTACATACTGGTAACAAAACAGTAGATATTGCATGCTGTACACAGAAAATTAGATACTGCTTGCAGAAGTCTAAATACAGTTAACAAAAACTTAGATACTGCAAGTGGAAGACTATAGAAAATAAGATACTGTTTGCAGAAGACTAATTACAACTTACAAATGTATAAGACACTGTTGGCACAAAAATCATGTACAATAAAATTCATCATATTCGTATGAAACGTACACGAACAGATACTTACAATCGTTATACAAGTTTTTTGATCAGGAGATTATGCAAAGGGAAAAAAATTAAAAATGAGGAACCACTTAAGGACTCATTCCAATGGTATTTTTGTATGTTGATGACCATCCAACGGAGCAACAAAGGAAAGAAACAATAGACAACGGATACGGCAACAAATATCGATTATGATGAAATAGTTTATGGAGTACTAAAAACTGCTTGAACAACACTAAATAGAGCTGGCAGAAGATTATGTGCTGATCTCATAGGACTTGATCTCTCTATCTTATGATTTGAAGAAAACTATATAGTACTTGTAGAAGACTAAATATAGCTGGAAATATTCTAAATACTGCTAATGGAAAATTAATACTGCTAATAGAAAGATAAATACTGCTTGCAAATGTCTATGTATTGGTTATAAAAGACTACATGCTGGTAACAAAACAATACATACTACTTGCAGAAGCCTAAATACCGTTGGTAGAAACCCAGATACTGCAAGTGGAAGTCTAAACACACTTAATAGAAAACAAGATACTATTTGCAGAAGACTACTTACAACTTACAGATGTATAGGACATTGCTGGCACAAATATTATGTGGAGTAAAACATTATATTTGTATCAAACGTACACGAACAGATATCTACAATCGTCATCACAAGTTTTTTGATCAGGAGATTATGCAAAAGGAAAAAAAAATAAAAATGAGGAGCAACCTAAGGACTCATTCCAATAGTGTGGTTGTATGTTGAGGAACATCCAATGGACCAATAAAGGAAAGAAACAATAAACAACAGATATGGCAACAGATATCGATTACCATGCATGTCAAATACTTGTCAGGAACAATCATAGTGCGTTTTACACTTAAGTTTAATGTCAATTCTAGATTTTGTGGTATCGATAAAGTGGATTAAAACCACACATAAAATTCTCTGTCGTCTTATTTAAGGAGATGTGAAATGATTTTGAAAAAGAATGCGATGAAGAATGCAAACAATGTTTTTTCTGCATTTATCCATTTTTATTAATAAAAAAAATCAAGATAGCGCAAGTTTTTATGATTGCTATTAAGGACAGAAAAAGAATTCAGCGCTTACATTATTGCTACTGTATATTCTACAGAGTGACTCCTTTGTTGTTATCAGAATCAATATGCAACATTGATACTAACTTCACAATTCTTTTTGGGTTCCTGTAAGTTTCTTACTCAAGAGAAGATTCGTGTTTCAACGCTCTACGAATTTTGTTTTGTATTTTGCTGGATAGTGCTGGGTAATTTAACACTTTTTGTATTACTTGCTTGCAGATCCACGTCGCAAGAAAGAATTCTATTTGTTCCATGGATAAGACAAGTTAGCGTATGGAAATACACTATGTCTTTTAGTACATATATTTCCAGATATATAGGCGCGTGGTTGAACTGTTTACAATTCAGGTTCAAGGTCAGACCGAATACTAATAGCAACTAAGCAGTACCAAGTAAAATTTAGCACCGTCTTGGGAATAACCAAAACAGAATCAATTGCGACATCGAATTTTTACTGATCTCTAGTCTAGATATTTCGGTTATTTTGTTATAGAAGTGCTTAGCGAAGGAAAGCCATCGAAATTTTTAGGTCATTGCTCATTACACCAAAGATTTTCAACCAAATAACAAAGTGTTATTGTGAAGTTTTTCGAGGTGCACGATTTAAACGGAGACGTGTCAGACCATTAATGATAAGACAGATCAAAAATATATATGAAATTGTTTGACAAGAACATTTCATTGTTAATTGGTACACTTATTGTTAGTGATAGACAAACTTAAAATTCCTGATGATAACATTACACCGAAACCGGTAAATACAAAACAATTTGTCAACTAAAAGTACTTTGTCTGAAATCGATTATAAGGCTTTTATTTAAATAAAATTAATAATCTTGTTATTTGCAAATATTACTTCATCGATAAATAATTGAACCGCGTTATACATAAAGCAACATTGTATCGTTTTTCGAGATTTTCATGCTGTCTGGTAGGTAAAGGTGTCACTTATCTTAGAAAAAATGCAGAATACCAAAAGACCTAAAATACTATTTGTTTTAAAGATAACCGCCAATCACGTTATACGATTTTAAGTCCGATTTGCATCATACGTCTAAGAACCGACGTAGATATACCAAGAAATTCTACAATAGAAAAAATAGATGAACCTACAATTTTGGGCCAATGTCGTTTTCTAGATGTTAGTATAATATTAAAAGTTTATGTCTTTTATTTTATATAGAATTTAATTTAAGTCTAACTAGTTTCGGCCCTTGGCCATCTTCAGAGGCTCTACAAATAGATTAACATCTCTCATCATATCCATTTTACAAACGACAGCGGTAGCGCTAGTTAGCATAAGATATTATGCTGTATTGTAAATTTTTATTGAACTAAAACTAGAACAAGAACTAAAAACATTCGGGTTTAGTCGTGAAAAAAACTTTCAGTTGTCAATGTCAACTTTAATTTTATTATTATATTCGTAATCTTCATAAAATAACCTTCAACCTTTAGAGGACCGGGACCACCACTTAAGTGGTGTTCTATGTTATCAGTACTTTATATGTGATAAATATATCATATGAAGTACATTTTGTATCGATTTTCTTCAGGCAATATGTTACCTACAATCCCGGCCCGCTAAAGGTTAAAGTGAGTCCAAAGTTGACGCACTTATCTCAAAAAACCAATAAGTTTGAACTTTCAATTTTTAATTTTTTAAATAATATTTTAATTCTGTAATATTTGTCAACTTCATAAAAATTCCTTTAAAATAAGTCTAAACTCGACATATTTAACTTTAATATTAACGGAAATACAATCACTTCCGGTTTGAAACGTCAACGTCAATTTTGATATATTTGTCATCTTCATTAAAAAACCTTTAAAATGAGTCCAAAGATGACGCACTTATCTCAAAAAACAAAAAAGTTTGAATAAAAAACATTAAATCCTAAGTTAGCAACAATAAAGATAGCAATTTAATTTTTAAATATTAATACCAACCTTAATTTTTTATTTTTTTTATTATATTTTTGTTTTTGTAACAAATATTGACATTTCAAACCGAAAGTTGCTTATATCTCGAGTAATATTGGAATTAAACGTATCATGTTTGGACTCATTTTAAAGGATTTTTCACGACGATTACAAATATGTCAAAACTGAGGTTGACATTTTAAACCTGAAGTTAGTTATCATATAATGGAAGTTTTATAACTGAAGTTAATCTAGTGTTAGTCATTTTTCCGCACTTTATTTTTATTTTTAATGTGTTTTTTGGGTCATTTCACAATGATTAAAAAAATCGTCGATTTTTAAGCCAGATGATGATTCTTGAATTTTTCCCAAGTTTCTTAATATTTCTTTTGTTAAAAAAGAGCGTTCTTAAATTTTAACATGTAAACATGTAACACTTTGTCCTTAATTTCATTTTACAACTTTTTAAACTTTAATTTAGGAAATTAGTAACTAATAATCTAATTTCGACTTTAATACATGATCTTTTTTAACAAAACAAAAAGAAATAGTAAGAAAATTGTTTGTAAAATGGATGAGATGAGAGATGTTAATCTATTTGTAGAGCCTCTGAAGATGGCCAAGGACCGAAACTGGTTAAACTTAAATTCTATATAAAATAAAAACCAGTTTAAAAGTACAAAATCAAACTTGGATTATTTTCTTCAAAAATTTTTACACGAATCGTTATCATTTTGTCTCTAGTTTTGGTGATTAAATTTATACCACGACTATTCTGAAGTCTTATATTTTTAGAGAGATGAAAACGAAAATTCCGTTTTTCTCAACATTATTCATTTGTCCCTTAGTCAAGTGATGCATAACATGGTCCAATTAGCTTTTTGAATATTCTGTACAACATTACATATACCGGGATCCAATTAGTGCGATATCGGACGATATCTCCTTACAGGGTGTCGCTAGAAGAAAATGTTTATATATAAAGTTGTTTGGTGCTCGAAGGTGCATAACCTAAAAATATTTTTCTTTATACAGGTACAACAACTACAGGTGTTGCAGAAACAAAGTACAAGGTACAACTTCGTAAATTTAAATGGAACACCCCATATTTTATTACATTTTTGAATTACCCTTAAAATTCGACATACTTTTTGTTAAGCATTACCTATACCAAAATTTTACCGTTTTTGAAATATTGAACATTTTGTGAAAAAATCTCCGTCTGCACGTGTCTATAAAAGAA